GCGTGGGCCGTCGCATCTTATCACGGCGATCTGGTATAACAAACTCAGAGCGCACGAACAACACATCAAGCTCGAGCTCTTACCATCTTAGCGCAGACTGAGCGGGACTGGAACTGCGAGGAGAAATTGCAGAATCGTTTAATCCTGCTACAATTTGCTGCTCCTCTCTTCTTGCTCCCTCATCCCTGCTCTCACATCCCACCGCCTCCCTCCTCCCTCCTAACTGTTGATGGCCTATGGCAGGACATCGGGAGTCGACGAGGCCCACTCGTCTATCGCCCTTCCACCCTCCTCGGTATTCCTCCCCGCCCCTCATTCCTGGAAGAGAGGAGGGAGGAGGGATGAGGCAGGAGGAAGAAGCGCGTGGGAGGTCGGACGGGGAATGGGGAGGGGAGACAGAGTGGGGGGAAGGAGTGAGAAGACGGAGGAGCAGCAGAACGGCAACGGGTGGAATAGAGGAGGAAGAGGAGGAAGCCGGAGCACGGGACAGGGTGGATGGAAACAAGGAGAATGCGAGGGGGGCGAAAGGAGAGACATAGGACGAGGAAATAGGCGAATGCGATGGAAGTGGAGAGGTTTTTACGGTGAAAAAGAAAATGCTGAGGACTACGATTGATGTAGACGAGGAGCAGAAGAAGATAACACAAATGTGTAGGAGCACGATGCTACCAAGGAACAACTCGTGCAGAGGGGAGCTAGAGAAGGAGGAGAAGGAGGACGACGACGTGGATGAAGGAAAAAAGTAGAGGAGGAGTGGGAGGAGAGAGGACGAAAGAGAAAGGGGAGATGGAGAGGAGGGGGACGTGGATGAGGAGGGAACAAAAAGAAGAGGAGGAAAGAAGGAGGTGAGGAGGGAGGGAGGGAGGGAGGTGTAGGTGGGGGGGGAGGAGGGGGAGGAGGGGGAGGAGGGGGAGGAGCTGGAGGAGGGAGGAGGAGGGGGAGGAGGAGGAGGATGAGGAGGAGGAGGAGGCGGAGAGCGGGAAGGGCGACAAGTTTGAGAAGGACGCGTTGGAGGTAGGGAGGCGGCAGGGCAGGTTGGCAGAGAGAGGCAGGGCGAGTGCGCAGCAAGACAGACGAGGGCGGCGGGCCTGAGCGTGGACGGCCTACCGGGAGGGGGGCGGAGCGGGGCGGAGCGGGGCGGAGGGGGGGGGAGCAAACGGGCGCTCCGCCGAGGCCCTCGAGACGATCAACCAGGGGCGCGGGGGGGTAGAGCGACAGGTGGACGAGAGAGAAATAGAGAGAGAGAGAGAGATAGAAAACGTGAGACAACGAGAGATAGAGAGAGCGAGGCCAAGGGAGAAAGGGTGATCTGAGACTGAAGGTGGGAGACATGAAGAAGATGAGAGAGAGAGAGAGAGAGAAATAGAAAAAGAGATATAGAGAGATGAAACACAATGAGGAAGAGAGAGAGAGAGAGAGAGCGAGAGAACAACAAAGAGAGAGAGAGAGAGAGCGGGAGAGAGAGAGAGAGAGACAGAGACAGAGAACGACGTCAAACTATATGCATTATGTATACAATTCGGTCCTCTGGCTGCTCGCCCTGCCAAGGTACATGATGCTTCCACTTGTTCTGCAGACTTCCAGGCCCAAAAACGAATCGTGGGAGCGAGCGGCAAGCGGCGAGAAGGTCCAGCGTCGGGGAAGGCTGGAGACGACAGCGAACATACACTCAAGACCCTCAGCACCCGCACCCACGATGTCGAACATCTATTGGACCCGGTCACATGCAAAACATCAAAATTGAAGGGGCCCTGGGACACACAAATAAATACACACAAAAAAGGATGCCCCATATTTTCCCATATTTTCTGGGTTTGTCTTCCCCCCACTGCCCATAGTTTCCCATATGTTCTGGGGAATCGACGATTAGTTGTGTCTGTGTGTTTCTCCTCCTGAAAACTCATTGCAGAGCGCCCGCAAGACACTGACAGGCCCTGGAGGCCCAGACCACGCCGAGAGGATCGCTACCCGTTGACGTGCAGGGCAGCCTGCCCGAGGCGCTGCATCTCCGTTGGCTTCCTGCACACATGTCGAGGATGCTTGCGCAGGCAACCAATGAAGTGACAAGACAAACGAGCATCTGGCACTCGCGAGCATCAGCATGAGCCAAACCTGCTGACGCTCGGCGCACGAGGTCAAAGAACTCACGGACTTGCCAACGGGTGAGGACCGCGGATTCTCGCAGGAAGATGTGATCCCTGCCGGAATCGCGGCCTTTAGGAGACGAGTAACATTGGCGCATCAGAAACTGACACACTATGTATTCCCCAAATGTGCAGATCATCTCGCGGCGCGGAAGGTTCTAGCCCAACATCCTTCGAATGCATGACCACGTCTTGCATGCGAGCCCGACGCGGAGCCCGGCAACCTCCGTCGCTGCACTCCTGAACTCTATGCGAAGGACGAGGGCATCGCCAAGAAGATCGGCGGCGGCGCCAGCGACGCGGGCCCAGCCCTCTGAAGCCCAGCTGGCCGCGCAGACGGCGCGGGCCCGCCAACGACGACGACGACGGAAGACGACGGAAGACGACGGAAGACGACGACGACGACGACGACGACGACGACGACGACGACGACGACGACGACGACGACGTGGGCCAGCCCTGCGGAGCCGCGCACGAGCTCAAGAGGAGGCCGGGCACGGGAGGCACGCGGGACGCGCGGCGGATCGCCCGCGGCCTGGGCCGAGCCCCCGAGGCCGACGCCGTCGGGGCTGCCCGAAGCTGCGTCGTGGTCAAGCGCTAGCGTTGGGCGCCCGAGCTACGGTGGGGGCGTTGGCTAAGGAATGTGCCAAGAAGGCTGCAGACCCTGGAGGGTTCCTTATTTGATGAGGGCGGCGGTGATATTCCATGGCCAAACCTCGATTGGAATCCCACCGGCCTCCAGACACCGGATTCCTTGTCTACGGGTTCCTCACTGGCGGGCGGGCGTCGCCAATGTGCTCTGGAGCTCGTCGCTGGAGTTAGGCCGGGCGTGTCCCCCCCCCCCCCCCACAGACGGATTTTGGACGAAAGACAAAAAATACTCCAATGAAGAATCAAAAATAGTCGGAGATAGTCAAAAAATCGCCCCCAGACTATTTTTTCAAACGATTTTGGGATCTTTCCCCCTGTGGAGGGACAGGCCCGCCTCAACGCTGGAGGCGCGCGGGCGCCGCCTTGGCGGGCCGCCGCGCCAGGGTCGGCGCAGCGCCGCCGCCTCCTGCCGGGCGACTCGCGGCGGCGCGTCGAGCAGCCGCGGGCCCACCGCCCTCGGGCCCTGGCCTCGGCCGCGGCGCGGCGATGCTTTCGGGGGCGGTCGTGGGAGGGCCCGCCGCGCCTGAGCGCACAGCGGGGGGGGGGCCACACGGTGCGGGCAGCATCTATATATCCACATCCAGTGGGTCTTGGAGTGTCGGGCTCTCTGCCCAAGGACACGAGGCGCACTGGATATGGATCAGCATCTGGCTCCCCAAAGGCTCGATTTCCTGTTATCCATATCCAGTGCGCCTCGGCCTTGCGGCGCCCCTTCCAAGAAAGTACGAGACGCACTGGACATCATGCATATAAGTATTGCCAGCACATGGTGGGCATCTCGGCCAGTCTCAGCGCGAGGCGGCCCATCTGGCCGAGCTGGGCCGACGTCGCGCCGAAGAGCGGCGCGTCGGGTTGATCTGCCCTGCACCGCGCCAGCGGCGGCCCCAACCATTGGGCCTCAAAAGAGAGGGAATGCGGACGGAAGCGTATAGGGCACAATCGGTGCCTCTAGATCGCCCCGTCGCGTTTTTGCACGGATCGCTCGGGGTTGGGTACATCGTCCAGCGTTTCCCGTGATGGCTGTTCGTGTGCCGGCACACGCGCGGAGAAAATCAAGAAAACTCAACATAAACATGTAACACAACGGAGGGTCTCAAAGAATGAGCAAAAGATGCACCGAACCATCTTGCCCGTGTTCAACTCATCATTCTGGTCCTCGTCCTCGTTGACATCGTACGTCGTCGCCCCCCGTCGCCTCTTGCCAGCCCCGGGAAAGCCAAGACGACTTAACCGCCCTGGTTGACGCAGATGGGGAGGCGAGGGCGAAGAAGAGAAAGGGGAAATGGCAAGAGAACGAGGGAACCGCAACACCATCCTGACCCGCCCGCTTCCACTCCATCCTTCACGGCAACCAAAGAAATCAACACTTGCCGACCCCCCGCCCGTGTTTTTTCCCGCGACGCGAGGGGGTACATGCAGAACCCTCAGTCTCCTGAAAGCCCGAAACCAGAACAGGTGCCTGGCGCTCCTGCTCACGGCCACGCCCGGGGGCAGACGCGAGCGCGCCGCGGCGGGGTGCCGCGCGGATTCCCGCTGCTGCAGCTGGCAACTCGGGCACGCGCCAGTGCCGCCAGGCACAGCCCCTCAGAGGAGCAGGCGGCACATCAGCGCGCGAGCCCCGGGCCCCAGCTATGGCCTGCCGCTGGCCCCATGTGCCTCCAGCTCCCGCTCTTACAACACAAACAGTGCTCTTAGAACGTAGAGGCAATAGCTTAAAGCAAGACTGTCTCAACCAAACCTGTTCTGGTAACATATCGTGCAAACCACAACATGTTCTTAGACTATTATTCCGTTTGCCTATATGCAGGTCAAGACGTTTCGCCACTGCTCGATCCGAGGCCCACCCGCCGTCAACTTCCACTGTGTCCAGCTCCAAATCCAGCCCCTGCTCAGGACCCAACTGCAGACCATGGCGGCACCCGTAAAAGCGAGGCGACTAAGCAGTGGGTCCCGCATTGGGCGAGGGGACAACAGCCCTGCGGTACCCCACCCCGCGCAAGTAGCCCGCGGGAGGAGAAGAGAGGCGCCCAGCTAGCGGCGCGCGCCGTGGGGGGCAGCCCGCTTCTTTAGACCATCCCGGCTCCAAGGAGGCCTCCGAGCAAGAGGCAACCTGCCTCCTCACAGGCTCCCCCTCGCGAGGAGGAACACCTCTACGATGGGCATGTTTTCTCGTCACGCGTGCTCACGGTCTGTCGATACGCTCCGAAGCCAGGTACACTGCAACCTCTTCTTCGCAGTCCCTTATGCACCTGGCATAGAAGAGAACTGCCCCGCCCCCCCCCCACCCTCCGCGGGGCAGATTCTCACCCCGAATTGTTTTCGGACGGCCCCGCGGCCTGGGAAGGGCCGCTGAAACACGCTGAAGGCGAAACACATCTGGGGCACCTCTCCTTTCAGGACCCCGCTTCCTTCAGGGCGCGTTTCCGTTGTCGGGGAGGGTGTTAACTGCTGCTTCCGCCAGCAGAACCGTCACCGTTTCTTTGCTTCCGGGGAAGGGATGCCCATCGAGGCGCTTCCGTTGGAGAGGGTGTTAGGGGCGGCTTCCGCCCGCAGGAACAAACGTCCTCGTCGTATTGCTTCCTAGGAAGGGATGTCCATCGATGGCGGGGCCCCGTCTGGCACGCCTCGCGCCCGACCCCGCGCAACGCAACCCGATGCCGCCTCCTCGATGGCGTGGGCCGCTTGCTCGGCCTCCCTCGCCGGCTTGTCCCGCGCGCCGCTGCGCCTGGTGCGCGCGGCGCGGGGGGAGAGCGAGGCCTCCCACCGCGGCTGCGGCCGCAGCCGCTGCTGCCGCCGCTGATGCCGCCACCACTCCTCGCTCTGCTCTTGCGTTTCGTCATCTCCCCGCCCTCCCCCTTCACCTCCTCGCAACCTTCCCCTCATCCGCTGCCTTTGTTGTCTCATCCTCCTCTTCCTCCTCCTCCTCCTCCTTCCCGTCCTCCTCCTCCTCCTCCTCCTTCCCGTCCTCCTCTTCCTCTTCCGTCTCCTCCTCTTTTTCCTTCTCCGTCTCCTCCTCCTCCTCGTGCTCATCCTTTTTTATAGATTTGCCGAAGCGAACAAAAAATATTAGGCCGCGGGTTGGTGCTGATACGGAGGTGCAACGATGTATGAAAATAGTGATGGTCCCCGTGGGCGGAGTGACCGAGCCCGCGGCAATTCAAGTAAGGGAGGATAGTGCCCACATACAACTCTACACCACACATCAACTCAGGAAGACACCGGACGAATGGGAATGCAAATACAAATACGGGGGAAAGTCAGCAATGTAACTGAAGCAAGTTGTCGGAAGTTCCTCCGTGAGATGGCGCAGAACATGCTGCCAATACAGATGCACCCCTCCCACCCGCAATGAATACCCAACCTCCCGCCGCCGGCCCTAATTACAATAATAGCAAGCGGAATGGCAGCGTGAACGTAAAGTGGCAGCGTGGACTCAACGCTTGCAACTGACATTGAACATTCAATAGGTTGGCTCAGCGTCGCGATGGTTGGGCGGTTCACGAATTGGGAGAGCAGGCGGCTGACGCAATGCACCATTGACAAATGGCTGGTGGGCTTTGCAAATAATTTTCGAAAAGGCTGGCCCAGACGGTACTGTCTGGCCTAGACGTTGCCGTTGGGTTCATTCCCCCCCTGGTTACTCCTCCGCGCCTCGAATCTTCCCCAAATACTCCCGTGTTCATAATTCTCGGCGGGGCCGGTACAGCAATGACTGGCTATGTGTGTCGACATTACATGTCCGCGCTGCTCGCCACTCCACAATGGGAGGCATGCCGAGGGCCAAACCGATCACTGCAACACGTCGCAATGTTGGCCAGCATACGTATTTATGTTTTAGCACTTCGTTCAATTGATAACAAGGCTGGCACAGATGGTGAAGGCTGGCCATGTCTGGTGCGCATCATCTTGCAGCCCCATCTGCAATCCCTGCGGGACCAAGCCCCTGCCGCCAAGGAGGGTCCCAGATTGCATCCTTTCTCTCGCCGTCCGCCCCCCCCCTAGACACTCAACTCCACTGCCCGCAGAAATACGCAAGCTTGTCCAAAAGACCCCGTTTATAGTACGGCCGCGCCAACAATAGATTACAATATCTGGTGCTGGCGGGGAATTCCCTCGACAGCTCCCCGAGCAGCAAGACGGACTGTCACCGTGGCGTGGATGTGCCACGCAACCGGAGCGGCCAGGCCACAGGGCCAGCCAAACGTGCCCGAGCAGGAGCCCCCTCGTCCACATTCCAGATCGGAGGTCCCCGGCAGCAGGGTGGCATGCCCGAGTGCACCGCGACCGCTGCTGTTCAGAGCCTCCGAGCCTGACGACTTCGGCAGAGCCTTCGAGGGGCCTCTTTTGACCATGGGTGTGCTGCGGTATCACCTGCCCCACGCCCGCGACGCCGCGGACCACCTGGGGGGCTGCCCAACAGGCCAGAACGCCAGGCCAGAGCGCAAGTTCTCACGGGCGACCCTACCCAAGCAGCAAGCAGTGGATCTGGATAAAAACAGGGGGCGGACCTCCCAAGACATATCCATATCCACGACTGCGGCCAGAAAACACCACGGGCGGCGATGGCCTGCGAGCCCCCACCACGGTGTCCGAAACGCCGTAATATGCGCATCCAGACCCCGGTCTGAATCTTCAAGCGGGAGGTTCGGGAGCCGGAGCTAAGGGCCTTATCCTAGAACGCGAGTACGTAGGACTGAATACATGCGCTGCATAATGTGCCATCATTACCGTTCGCAACACCAGGTTGCTGCTCTCGCTTCTCACGCGACATCGTCGACCTGACCTGCATCCTCGGCCCAATCGCAGTCGAAGGCGATGGCGTGAATCATGCGTTATAATACGCATAGGGTATCTCAACTTTTGTGTTGGATCCGCCAACAAACAAGCCCCCTTTCCAAAAAGGGATCAGCGGCGGTAGCGGTCAAATATCAGAGGTGGCTGCGGCTGCAGAGAGACAGTGCGCTTTAACAGAGGGTATGAAAAGTCGAAGGGTTAAAGTTCAGAGGTGAAAGCACAGGAGAGGCAATGGCTATGTAGGGCTGCCAATAATGGGCGATGCGCCCTGGCTTTATGGCATGTTAGAAGAGCGCGGAGCGGGAAGTGCCCTGACCTCCACTCTCTGGCAGAGATGACTGTGAGAGTACCAGCTGGTAGCCCTGCATCCCGACCCCCATCCCTCCCACAATACCCACCAACCCCAACCATGCTCACGTCCGTGAGAGAGTAAATGTGCGTAGAAGAAGGTTGCTGCGACTTGGGAAATGGACATTGTCAGCAATGCTGGGCCGTCAGAACCAAATATGAAGCGTGCTAGCTCAAAAGGCTATAGTCTGCGCATGCTCTAAACACGTGTGGCGCGAGGTCCCCTGGGCATGGGGGGGCCCGTCCACAGGGACCCGCGCGGCGTTTAGTGCGAAACAATGATCCCGCACAATATGATAAACATCCCGCAGAGGTTCCCACAGAGACCCGCAAAGTATGCTAAGCATCTCCCGAAAAAGATCCCAATCCCATGCGACACCACCCCCAATAACAAAACCTTTCCAGTACGCACGTAGCACCCCGCCATTGTGGATAAGAGTGATGGGGGCGGCGGGGGCGGCAGCAATCTGCGAGGCTCTGGACAAGCCCGCCGCAGGCGCCTACCTATGCAAAGTATAACACTAACCCGCCGTAAATGCCGATTGATTCGTTCAAAAAGTATGGGTGAATCGCGGCTGGGTCGCGGGCCGGGTCGCGGGTGCGTCGCGGGTGGGTCGCGGGTGGGTCCCAGGTGGGTCGCGGGTGAGTCGTGGGCGGGTCGCGGGTTGGGTCGGGGGTGGGTCGCGGGCGGGTCGGGGGTAGTTGCGGGGAGGGTCGCGGGCGGATCGCGGGTGGGCCGCGGGCGGGACAGTGACGACAAACCACGCGCAAAAAAACAGCATACAACAAACAGCAACAGCAACAGCAACAGCAACAGCAACAGCAACAGCAACAGCAACAGCAACAGCAACAGCAACAGCAACAGCAACAACAACAACAACAACAACAACAACAACAACAACAACAACAACAACAGCAACAACAACAACAACAACAACAACAACAACCACACCACCACCAACAACAACAGCAGCAACAATCATTATACCCTCATGCGCGATGCTGCCACACGCAGCATGAAACCATCATGATAGCCACCCCCATCATGAAGGATTATTGTTCTATCGCGGGGGTCCGTTATTCCCATTCCCAGATCTCCCGCCCAATAAGGTCTTGCAAACACCTCCTCCTAGGAAGTCCAACATATCACGCCTCGAAAACACATGCCCGCGCCCTGCTGCGCCGATGCGAGACCGCCAGTGGAACCCCAGCCAAGGGTAAAGCATAAGGAAGTATCGAGCGATAGGATTGGCTTGGTGGAGATGGGGGCTGTCGGCGGCGAGGCAAGGACCTGGCCCTGGTTGTCGACGGCGAGGGGGAACACCGCCTTGAGTAACAACGGAAGAAGTCTCGAGCGGAAGCCGCGGTTTTGTCGGGACTGGGGCTGTCGGCGGCGAGGAACAGCACCGTCTTCAGGAAAAAGGGAGGAAACCTCGAGCGGGAGCGTTGTTCTTGCTGGGGGCGGCGCCAACTCAAAAAAGAATTAGGCGCCAGTCCAGCATAAAACGGGAAGACGTCTCGGGCGGGAGCGCTGGTTTTGTTTGGGCGCGGTTTTCGGCGGCGAGCAAAAGCACGGGCTCTGAGTAAAAAAGGGGAAGTCTCAAGCGGGAGCGTTGTTCTTGCTGGGGGCGGCGCCGATGAGGGAAAGAAAAGCGCGCCAGTCCAAGGTGAAACCGGAAGACGTCTCGAGCGGGAGCGTTGGTTTTGTTGGGGCGGCCGTTTCGGGCGGCGAGCAAGAGCACCGGCTCTGAGTAAACAAGGAGGAAACCTCTAGCGGCGGTCCCACTATCGCTGGCGGCCCCTGGCGCGTTCCGCGCCTCCCACCTCCGCGGCTCCTCCTCCGCCTTCTCATCCTCGGCGTCGCCATGGGCGAGTTGTCATCTTGGAGGCGGAGGGGCGCGAAAACACCCTGGGTCATTACCGCGGTCGGTGCCCCGCACCTCCGGCCCGCCTGGAGGAGGAGGAGGAGGAGGTGGAGGAAGAGGAGGACCCGAACCTCTTCGTATCGTGAAATGAACAATTCGCAATGTTTGGCAATGTTCGACTTTCAGAGCGCTCCTGCC